ATAATTGTTTTAAACTTTGACCTCAAGTTGAACAATTAAAAGTTTAACGTGAATTAAACACATGTCCAATGTATGATAAGAAAATGACTAATTATAATGTTCTATGATATTGAATTTTTTTTTTAATTCTTTAAATTCATATGAAACATCAAATTAAAAAAAAGTTGAACATGTTTTTATACTTGAATGGCTAAGTTTTACTCTAAACGAAGTGAACGTAAACTTTTTTTTAACAGAAAATCCTTTATATTATCAAAATCTTCATAACTGTACCGTTATTGAATTATTGATTTCCCAGACACTAATTAGCCGATACTTTCCCGTATGCAGTGACCTTAGCAGTGACCTTAACTACGACACCTCTAGTTATAACTTCGGCCACCGCACAGCGCAAGTGCGAGGGGAAAACCGTGATGAAAGAATGTAAACGCATATGCTCTTGAAAGTAATTAGAAATAACAGATTCATAAAGATAAAATTTGATACAAAAAATCATTTAACAACTGTTAGGGAAAAGTTTAATTAACAAATGGGAACGCATGAAAAATATAAAAACCAATGTCATGGTTCTTTCAATTCACTTATCTGTCACTCCTTCCACTTGCTCTGTTTTTATTGTTTATCAGTGTCACGATTCGGAAAACCTCGGCAACAAACTCGGGAGTTAATAAATATATAAAAATATGCATGCAACACTTAGTTTAGTATATATGCATGCATTGGTTCAATAATTTCGATAACATTAAAAATTCAAGAAACTCGTTTGATATGACTTTAAATCTCAAATGATCACAGCTTCATGTGTTAACGTTGAGGATCTACAACATTACAGTGTATTTCTCAATATTTTACCAAATTGTAAATGTCCAAAGATGGGCAATCATATATAGTATTCTGGATACTAAATTTTGCATAAAAACGAGTCTTTCTGTTTTATTAGGACATTGTACAGTATTAAGTCGTCTTTAAAATACGGTCACCGAAATTATGGTGAAGGACGGCATGAATTCATAACAATAGGTAAAGTACTTTGAACTTGATTTGTGTAATAACTTGATACGATAAAATTTTCGTAAATGTGCTTTTGCTTTGTTATATTTATACATAAAGAAGTCTAGAAAAACGACGAACCAGCAAATTTAATAAGTGTTGGATCGTCTATACTAGGCCATACTTTACAGATAAGAAACAAATTATTAAAGTCCTAAATTTTGTGCAACGATATTGCAATAAATCGTATATACAGATATGTCGGCTCAACAAAAGGCCTTATTCAGTGTCAATGTTTTTTAATTGGTGCAATACAGTAAGCGTTTGTGTGTAAAATTAGCTCGCTCGTACAGGTAACTTTTATGCAATTAATTTAATCTGAAATCCTGCACCCCATAGAACAAAACTAAACTCAATACTATATATGACGTGGCTGCGCACTTATATATCCAAAAATGTCAAAATGTAGTTGCCCGTATAATTACATATATATATATATATATATATATATATATATATATATATATATATATTTAATAACAATTAAGACTTGTATATATAGAATAACTATACATTGTTTTGAAATATAAAAAAAATATATTTGAACAAGGTAAAGAAACAGGTAGAATGCAAGACTCTGCAGAGCATTTCTATCCTAAACTGAGCCGGGTAGGCCACATACCACAATTAATTTCCCTTTTAAATCTTTACAAGTTTGTCAAATTTATTAAAATCGCATCCTGTTATTTTGCCCAATCTTTTGTGTGGGTTAAATGTACAGTACATGTTCAAAAGCTATCGAACATTTAAAAAATAATTGAACTTTTTTTTGGCAGAGAGTATGGTCTGTTTGGCCTATAACAGTAGACTGCATGGTATGAGTTTTGCTCATTGCTAAAGGTTGAATTTGTTGGACGGTAATCTTATTGGCAAATAAACCAGATCTCTTGGCAAGTATGTTGCAATATCTTATAAACTGATTTCACTTAAGGCTAAGTACATGTTGTTTGATCATATTTCGGATTTTTACGAAATTTTAAATGCATTGAACTCATTGAAGCGAATCTGAATATTGACAAAATTGCATATGCAGAATTATCACACTGATTCTAAAGATATAATCAATTCAAAATATTTAGAATAGAACATTAAAATGTATAGAAACGAACATTCATGCTGTTAAAAAAAATGTGATTTTTCAAAATCCGGTTCACATAAATTTTTTTTTAATGATATGTTAATAACTGTACACAGTTCAGTTTTAATGATCACATGATTCGTGTTTGCAGACTTTATCATTAGCGTTTTGGTTTTTTTTGGTGTAGAAAAATAACGATATTGCAGATTAACCACAGGCACATGTGTCTTAAAAAAACTACATGAATATACCTTTATTTTTTTATAAAACTATATAGATTAAATATTACATGTGAGGGTGACGCCAATATAACATTTTGTTCCTCGACGCTTTTTTGTGCTTACACAAAACGTCGCATACTGTAAACCTGTTTGCAATGATGGTCGTGTAATGAGCACTGCTTTAACATTAAATTTGTTCTCATCTGTACATCGGTTTTAATTGCCTGTACATTTTATTTGTTTAAACGAGTAAACTACATGAAGTATTAATGGATATGTTCATTGTATAAAATTGAATTGATCATTTCTCTGTTAACCTCAAGCTCGAGCTCTACAGCACTTAGACGCAATTCATCTTTTCTGTGAGAGGGAGCATATTTGTTTAAAACGATTTTAGGATTCTAAATTCCTTGAGCAATAAAAATGTTTCAGAGAGGAATTAAAAATAATTTGTTTCTATAAAAAATAAAAGAGTAAAATTGAGTTTAAAGTCATATGAAACGAGTTTCTTATAATTTTAATGTTATCAAAATTAGTAAACCAATACATGCATATATACTAAACCAAGTCTTATATAGATATAGGAAGATGTGGTATGAGTGCCAATGAGACAACTCTCCATCCAAGTTACAATTTATAAAAGTAAACCATTATAGGTCAAGGTACGGCCTTCAACACGGAGCATTGGCTCACTTATATGCACGTTTTTAATATAAATTACGAATCTATAACGTATTATCGACAAATTATATTTTATTCAGTGATTGTTGATCGCCAGCAAATTAAATTTCGAGTTACGATGTTAACTAGATCGTGATTTTGGTAAATAATCAACACAGAGCATGTTGAGTACGTGACAAATAAGTTAAATAATAGAGTCATGATATATTTTGTTTTTTTTATTTTCCATGCGTTCCCATTTTTTAATTAAACTTTTCCTTCACAGTTGTTAAATGATATGTTGTATTAAATTTGTTCCTTAAGGATTAGTTGTTACTATTTACCTCAATCGAAATCAAGTGAACGTTTGTTTACATCAGGGTTTTCCCCTCGCACTTACGCTGTGCGGTGGCTTAGGTTCTAACGAGAGGTCTCGTAGTAAATGTCACTGCATACGGGAATATATCGACGAATTAGTGTACGAGAAGACAATAATTCAATAGCAGTACATTTAGGAACATTTTGATAATATAAAGGATTTTCTGTTATAAGAAAGTTCACGTACACTTGTTTTATAGTAAAACTTAGCCATTCAAGTATATAAAACATATTTTTTCCACACATCCTATTAAATTGGTTCTGCACATGGTTCTGCTGCCATCAATATGTTAACCCAAGTGTTAACTGGGATATAGGAATATGTTCTTCCCTTGGTCTTCTTTCAGCAGTAAAACCCTTTCCATAGATTGGCGTTCTTTTTATCTGTGCTTGATGTATAAATTAAAAATAACAACCAATCAGAAACAGAGTTTAATCCGTTGCCTCGTGTAGAGAGAGTGCCACGCTTTCTGCAGTTTAGAACCCTTGCAACAACTCTTTCAGGGATTTGTAGGTAGTCTGTTGCAAGTCTTAAATTATGTCCATACCACATATATCCTTATTTTACAATAACATTCTAAATCCCCCCTTTCATCAAGGGAGACTCCCTATTGTAGGACCTATTGTATTAATTGTTAATTTGTTACTGAACATGCATGCAATATTTGCCACTGGGTGTAAAGCAAAGAACAATCAATCAAACAACTATACATGTATTAATGCCCCAATTTATGAAATAGTCCACTCAATTCGGGAAGACAATGTCAAATGAATGATGTGTATGATGATTACGTCGAGTTCAAAAAGAGGTAAATATAGCTATCTAATCGTTTTTAATAACTGATCAATATTTTGATTTTTGGACAAATAAATTGGTATATAACTCAATTCATAATATATTTAGAATCATTTTATTTCAAATAGGTTTCCTCCTTAAATATTCATAAAAAAATTTACTTCTAAATATCTAGTTTTATGTACACTTAACCCACACAAGCCCTTCATTGACCTATATCAATGGGACCGTAGATGAGTTTAGTTTACGCGTTGATAACACCACACCGAGTTTAGCTCAAAATTATATGAACACAGGTTAATAAAGTAAGTACTGTTACAAATAAGAACTTAATTAAGACTTTGACAAGTGTTGGTAAAAAACTAACAATGTACAAATTTCTTTACCAAACTTGAAAAGCCAAATTTTAGAGTGTGAATAATTTGATATACATAATCAAAGTTATCAATTGATATGTAGAGTGCACATTTAATTTTGAGCTTAAACAACATCTGGGGATTAGGCGGCCCACTGGGTCCTTCATATTCTAATACCTCCGATTAAACAAGTTCTCATTTACAGCTCTAACCAGCAACATAATACAAACAAAATTTACTATGTGGGTAATTTGATACAATGCACACAGGTATATACAGGTCTTTCTAATACATATTTTCACAAAGCAAGATAGGTTATCATGTCTGTGCAATGCCTTTTATTTCCATGTTTAAGCAATGAAACAAACTGTCTAGAATAAATACTGTGACATGAATAAAAATGTAAACAGCTATGCACACGCATAAAAGTGTATCATGAATGTTAAGCTGGACATTTTAACCTTAAAGATACTTCAAAAGAACCAAAGTCGAAGCTTTTGCCAAGCCATTTGGACTTCCTCCTTCTCGACTGGCCATTGAATTAAAAGTACATCTTTCCAAATGGTCGAAAATTCTACGGGAATATTATCCAAAGGGATATCTCTTGTAATAACAACAATCTTCTGCAGATTTTTGGAAAACTTTTCATACTGTGCTCGCTCGATTTCAAAACGAGTCCATTCATTTTCGACAATTGATGGCGAGACAAGAAATATAACGTGTCTGCATCTATGAATAGAAGTAGCTCTTTCGGTAGCTATTGATTCACCTACAATAAAATCTCTATCTTCGAAGCAAATTTTGAAACCCCATTCATCTTCTACCTTCTTTTGCAATTCTTTCACAAAAGAAATACAGTCATCCGAATATGAAACGTAAACGTCATAATCAAAAGTCAGCTCAAGACCTTTCTCTGCAAATCTCCGGATATTCCGGAAGAAAAAGAAAATTATCCTCCGTCTAAAATTGTACAATAGCGTTATACAAATCAAAGTTGATAAAACAGAAACCAATAATGAAATGCCTAACTTGATCCAAACGGTAGAATCACAGTCAACGAAATAATGATGAAAGTCTTCAGCGACATTTCTGGTATAGTTGATTGTTTTAAGTGAAGAAACCCAACAAGAGTAGTTACCATTTTTATCTAACATTACTTTAGTTGTCAGAATCCAACGCAAAAATATTGTTGTATCACATGAACAAATCAATGGATTATTACTGAGATATAATTTAAAAGATCCAAATTTGGTATGCTGGGTATCAATCCAACTAAGTATATTTTCCCGAATTGTAGTTAATTGATTGTGTGATAAATCGAGTTCAGTAAGGCTATCAAACTTTGTAACTACATCAGGCACATCATCAAACAAGTTATGAGATATATTGAGTTGTGTTAAATGCGGCAATTGCCCAAGCGAATTCATTTTCCACATATAGTTATATGATATATCCAAATTCTTTATATTAGGACAAAGACTTAATATTGATGAATTAGTTTGTAAAACGAGGTACAATTTTGTTTCCTTCAAGATGAGTGTTTTCAAATGGATTAAAAGTGGAATTTTCCCAGCTCCAATTGTAATATCGGAACTTATTCCTGACAAATCCAGATGCTCCAAACTATTAAATCCTTCTACAGTCAAAATTGGGAAAACATCTGTTTCAAAATCAGAAACTTCAAGATGCCGAAGGAAGCTATCGTTTACTTTTATTTCCCTGAAGCCATTTCTACCCATTACATGTGCTATTCTCACAAATTGTATTTGGTTCGGAACCGTAACTGTTATATTCTGTGTCTCTAATCTGCCTTTGTATTCAAGTCTTTGGATTGTAGTATGGTTATTTTTCGTCACCACGTCAAGGAAGACTGGGTTTTTGAACCTTAGCGGAAAATAGGAAAAATCAAACATTTTGATGTTGGTCATCCTGAATACATACAAGAACAGATTAATTGCCCAAGTTTCTATACTAAAACTATTAGATGATGCCATTATATGTTCAAAGCAATGTGGATGTTTAAACGAAACTATTGAATTGTTTTTAACTGAAATAATCTGATTGTCAAAAAAATCTATGGTCGTTATACAGATAGTTGATATATATTTCATCATCTCCTGTGTAAGAACAAACGCGTCAAGGTCGTGTTTAATATTACTATGAGTTATTCCTCGAAAAAGAATTGCATCCATTGATTTATTTTGAAATGGTTGTAAAATTCTGAGAGCCTGAGTTTAGTGAATATTGCTGTTGCTAAGATTTAGTACTTTTAGGTGAGGAAACGGTACTAAAACTCCAACTTCAATGACGACAAAATGTTTACAAGTTGTCATGTGGAATTCATTTATATTAACCGGCATATCTTGAAATGTCTCATTGTATAAAATATCAACGTGGCAATAGTCAAATCTAAACTTTCGTAAATTGTGCAGTTTCCTAAATTGCTGTCCAAACGTTGCGTTCAACACAAGATCAATTGACAACTCACGCAGGTTACAAAGTTCACCAACGGGAATTCTATACGGGTTGTATTCTGGTGTTTTCATATTTCTACTGACATCTAAAGCTGATAAATTCTGTAAGGATTCAAACACTCCAGGTGGGTAAGATGTACACATGTTTAATTGATTTTTTACCATGGACAACCGTCGTAATAATGACAAACCGGTGAAAGCCTTCGCATCCAAAAAATTCATAACATTATTATCAAGTATTAGATGTTATAGATACTTATATCTATGAAAACTGTTGTCACCCAGTCTGGTCAGTCTATTATAACTTAAATCCAATTTCTTTAAATCAGGCGGTAAATTTGTCGGAACAGATGTATCCTTGGTATGTACAATCAGCCTCCTTATCTTCTAATGTATTTAATGTGATATTGCATTGTGCATGTACTGTTGTATATGGATAAACAAGTATAATCCAAATTGCTATCATGATATACATTATTTTGATTAACTTAATTTGTTATCTACTTCCAGCGGTATAGACAAATTCGATAAATGACTGCAGTGTGTGCATGTTTTTAAATTTCTGTCTTTAAATGTGTAAGGATTTTTTTCTTTTATTTTGCCTTGACCGATATGATTTTGATTGCATTTAACAAGTTTAAAAACCAAACAAACAAACATCGTAATAAAACTTTATATCCACATTACGGTTTTACATGCACAGATAAATGATAATAAAATATAGATAAACAATGGCAAATATATTTCCCGTCCAAAAAACTTGATCACAGATTGTAATTAAAAAAGTTTGTTATTTCTAAAAAAATATATTAAATATATACAAAATACAGTAATGACCTATCATTTCTTATTTTTGCGGTATCAAGTACTTTATAATGACGCATTGAAACAATAGACACGAAATAGATAAGTTCTGAACAAAAAAAAGAATTAAAAACTATAGGTCATGGGTTTTTCATTGATTTAAGCAACTATTTAGTCAATCAGTTGATGGATGCATGTATGAAGCTTTTCTAGAAGTGCAAGTTGTTTTTTTCCTCCCCTTTATTAACTTTGTATAAAGAGTGCATTTATAGCAAGGGGCAGGAAATGCCTACCCGTCCGGAGCACTTGAGTTTTCTTCGTGTTGATTGACTTTATTGTTTCTTTTTGTTTTTTTCCTACGGCCATAATGATGTCGATCTTATTTCGACTAGCTGAAGGTTTTGACGGAAACCTATGCAGGACTGACGAAAATTGAATTCGTATTCAAGATCACGAATTAAAAAAAATGTGATCACGGATTAAAATCGTAACGTAAAATTCAATATTTTGTTCTTAATGTTTAAATTCGTTATAACAAATATGAGGAATTAGTTATCTCAGATTTTTGTTATTCGTGAGTTATTGCATGTGATCTTTTAATTTTATGCACTCAAAAAGCTTGAAAAAGTAAAAATAAAATCATAAATTTTATAGAAAAGAACGAAAGCCTCATAAATTCATCAGCAGTGTATACAAAAAGATAAAAAGAAGATATACAATTCGTGACACAAATAGGAAGAAAAACATGCAAATATGCTGCAAAAATTCGCTACCCTAACAAATGTCAATCGTGGGTATGTTCAAAACTTTTATATTCGTTTAAATGTTATGGGGTTTTATTGATCCCTGCCACATACCAAACGAGCTAAAACTTGTATTTTATTTATTTTTACTTTATAGACCTTTTCCCCAAAGTATTATTTTTTAGGCTTGGTACAATTTATTTGTCATAATACTCAATCTCTTGACTACATATATATTTTTGAAAGAGTTGTAAGATTCAGACCTTTTGCCTCGTAGCAGTCTAGTAACATTTTGGTCATATGACCGCTAATGCCAATGAAAGAACAGATTGACCCTTATTTTTTGCTTGTTCTTTTTTAAAATGAAGACATGTGATTGATAAGAACATTCAGAAGGAATACTCTAACGCAATTGCATTTGAATTATAAAGAATGATATAAAATGTAGAGCAAAAACTGAAACACACAAATTATATTGTTTATTTGTAAATATACACTGTACCAAGGAGATTGGCAATTTCTAAAATTGAACAACTATATTTAGTTTGAATCAAATCGCGCATGCATGTACAGTTGAACTATTTTTTGGGGAAACATTCTAATTGATAAAAACGATTACCATCTTTTTCAGCAGAAATAACAAGCTATTTGATTCATTCGAATCGTCAGTGGTGACATAAACAACGAAATATTTAAAAACGTTAAAGAGAAATATATATATAAAAAATTACATCAAGAAGGATGACACAGCTAGCTAAGAAATACTTGTGAATCGGGACGGGGTATCTTTGTCATTTGGAAATTTCTTCCGAATCCTAATATCACAGTTAAAGTATGCCTGACCCAGTGCAAAAGATATCTTTGTCCCGTTATTTCAAAGCTGTAAATACTATTATACTTCCAAGTGAAAATGCTATAATACATTTTTTTTTTACATGGCATATCATATAAAAAGGACAAACGAAGGAACAAAATTCGTAGAACAAAACTAGCGACAATTCGTAACAAGTAAAATGGGTTCGTCAACTCTTGTCTTGTTGTTACTGTGTGCAAACATTGGAAAATCATTGGCGAGTTGTAATCTAGGTAAGAATTCAAATATGTAAGATATTGACATGTATTTAAGTTTTATACACAGTTGTTAACAAGATGTAAGTGTTGTGAGTTATTTCTCTCTTATGATACACCCGCTATAAGTATTCAATATATAAGAATTTGATGATCGGTGGTGTGAAATATATGCTCACATAAAGCTTATGACATTTTCATAGACGGACAGAAGGAAAAACACACGGACAAACGATCATAGGAAAACCAATCTATCCCCTCCTTTGGTGTGATGATATAACAATTCTCATGAAGCCAACTTCAAATATCTATTCATACATTCGAGGTTGATACTGTCTACTTGGTAGTGTTCTCAACGTTTGTCCTACTAGTTCAAATCAATAACTATTGACTGGAGTTCCGTATGACACGGCTTTTCTCCTGGTACATGTTGAAATCATTCACAGAAGAAATGCATGCAGTGTTGGTGATAGATTGTGTTTAATTCGATCAGGCAAGTACCTGTGAATTGTGGAGGTGATTGTACAAGTCTAAGTAAGTCATACAGTTGTTCTCCATTCGTTTGATGTGTTTGAGCTTTCGATTTTGCTATTTGTTAAGGGACATTCCGTTTTGAATTTTCATTGGTTCGGTATTTGTGTTATTTTACTTTTTGGTCATACAGCTCTTTAATTGTCAATATAATACTTCCATGGTTATCTCATTTTATCGGACTTCTCAGTTTATACAGAGACATATAATACAATAATAACAGTATATGTATCTGGATTATATAATAGTCAGTTTCTGATTTTTATTTTGCCACATGCTTGTTATAAAATATTTGGCGATCACCTCCGTAATACACCCTTGTTTCCACTCATAAATATAAACGGAACATGCCTACCATATTGATTCAATTTTATAAACTTTCGGCATGACGAGTCTCAAAGGTGAGTCTCGCATCTTTCTATCTTTGTTTTAGATTGATCACAGTTGATTGCTTGTAGTGCTTAAAAGATATATGTATCTAGGTGTTTTTCTTTGAACCATCGATATGTTTAATCGTTGTTTTAAAGTATGGATCCCATACCGCACTGGCGTATTCTACAATGTGTCGTACAGGTGATTTATAGTCATTATCCTATACTGAAGTTGACCCTCTTAAATTGTCCTGTACCAAGTCAGGAAAATGGCCATTGTTATATTATAGTTCGTTTCTGTGTGTGTTACATTTTAATGTTGTGTTTTTGTTGTGTCGTTGTTCTCCTCTTATATTTGATGCGTTTTCCTCAGTTTTAGTTTGTAACCCGGATTTGTTTTTATCTCTATCGATTTATGAGTTTCGAACAGCGGTATACTACTGTTGCCTTTATTTAGTTAATGTGGTTGTCTGGCTATCGTTTGTAAAAACAAAATTACTCTTGCTAGCGTGTTCATAACCATATTCAGTCGATAGTTTGTAAAATTGTTCAAAGTCAATAATGTGGTACCTTTTAAATTCAGGAAAAAGAATGGCTAACGTTTGCTTGATTTCAATGAGTTTGTATAATTCTAATACAACTTTTATCTAGGAAAAACCACATGCGTGACGGAGGACCTTCTGCATATGATTATGGGAAATGGACCTACTTTAAAAGATGGTGAGTAAAGCTTAAAACTATGACAATATTCAGCGTTGCCTATAATTATGAACTCATGAACAATATTCCTATTGGAAACATCGTAATGATAAAATTGTGTTCGTGATTTTTTTATGCTTTTATTCTTCCAAATGCTTAGATTCGAACACAACTGATGAGTCTTATGAAAAAAAAACTGCGCGGATGATGTACTGAAATTTCAAGCCGTTACCATTTGGTTTATTTTCATACCAAAAACTGTTTTGTATCATAATCATAACTTCCAAACAATCTTATTCATTTACTGAACAAGAATTATAACGTTGTCCAAATAAACACACCACTGTCCTTTGGTCTTTAATTTGGTGGATAGTTGGTTATCATACAACATCTCATTATTTCGCTGTTTGAGAAATGATCATAGCAATAAAACATTTAACCACAAATCTTTATTTCTTGTATTAGTGTTAGAAGTAAACAATTGCGGTAAATGATCATTGCTAAGTTAAGTAATGAGAGGTACGAACGATTTAATGTAGCACCAATTTAAACGCCTGAACGAACTACCAAACTTTGAGAGGTTTACCTAGTCGATCTATCTTTATTTCAAATCTAAAATACGTTGTTAACACGTTGTTAGGGAAAAAGTTACTTTATAATAATAGCAAGTAAAACTAAAAAAGCTTTTACTCATTTTAACATTAACTATAAAATATTTACAGCACAAGATGCAAATTTTTGTCAATTATGTTCTCTTAAGTGATGCTCGAGGTCAAAATTTTTAAATCCAAAACCTAATTCTAATGTTGAAGAGCTGACGTTAATGAGTAAATAAACCATATGAGCTTCTGAATTTGTGAATCCTGGTCACATTTCATCTGTTAACAAAGGAATAAACTCAAACAACAGACATACCCCTAAAATATATTTTAACAACATCTCGAAAAAAAAACGAATAAAACGAATGTGCACCAATGAAAAAGGATTATGATAGACATTATTTTAATTTTTAGATCTCGAACGAAGACCACATTTTTTGCATCATTAAAAACATCTCAGCAAACTCTGTCTAATATTAAGGATATTGTGAAGTTTGATGACGCAAAGATCTATATTGGAGGTGGATACGACTCTACAACTAGAATATTTACTTCTCCACGGAATGGAATCTACATATTCTCCTGTACTATTATGGGTAATGCTGGATGTGCAGTTCATTTCCAGCTAAATAAGAACGACCAGTTATATACATCAGGGTTTGTCGCTAAATCGAACTATGGAGCTCAAACGGTGAACTGTCTCGTCGAGCTAAGGACAGGAGATAAAGTGTATGTTAAACATAGATCTAGTGCATCTGAGAGTGTACGTTGAAGTCACTTCTCTACATTTTCTGGTTATCTTTTGTCTAAGTAATAATATTTACTGTTCTCAATATTCTATTCTTTAAATTTTAGAACAAATCATTTTTATTTGATATCTTCTTGGTAAATCAGTCTCATGATCATCGAATACAAAAATGAACAATGATTAAAAGTTTTGATATTTCATGTTTTAGCGATTGATACCTTTCCAACCGTTTGTTGGTTCAATAAAGGCATTGACCGGAACTGCAGTTTATATGCAATATGTTAGCCCCTACTACTACATTTTTTGTAATAGCGTCTTAACAGGCTCCATAATTAGTCACATTTTGTATGTGTCAGAGTGTTATATTGAAGTCTGTGATTTGATAAAAATAATCTGCACTTTGTTTAAAAAAAAAATAATCATATTCGCATTGGTGTGATTTCATACTTCAAACAACGTTTTCATGATTAATATTAAACTGAATTTGATGTCTCTGGTATAACAATAAAGCCTAACTCTTTTGTACAGACATTTACATCACTGCAGATAATCGAAATGTCAAAGGAGATTATATTAAAGGTCTTCTATTGAATCAAAGATATATCAAAAATAACAGGCTTATAATTTGGTACACAGTTCGTCTACAAAAGACTCATCAGTGGTCTCGTTCAAAAACATTATTGAAATACATTGAAAACCAAAAAGTTTTAAAAAGATGTGCCAAGTTTTAAGACATAATAATGTCTGTAAACTGTAAGAGATTTGTATCTCACAGTACCTACAAAGGTGATTACGTTATATCTTCGAAGAAATTTATCTATTATAGACTATCTACTGTTGTTGGTGTTTTGACGAATGCATATGGAACACATCCTTGATCATCTTGTGCACAGACATTTCAAACATTAAGTACTTCCCGCTATAATCAAAAGTACTAAGATAAAAATCCATCATTTGATGAATAGTTGCGACCGATTTAATAAAAGTGTTATCGATTAGCTGTTGAATCAATAATATTTTGTTTTATTTCAGAATGATGTACATCTATACTTTCGTAGTTCAAAGTTAAAGGATTTTTTAATAAAACCCTACTTTATAAATGTTTTATCAATAACTGCAGACATTAATTGTCAACAATTCAGAATTTTCTAAATACTAGTATCACACTGATTGAAATCGGAAACTATATATATAGTATACAAACGAAATTTTAACAACTGAACTCTCTTCAACTATGTCGAACAGTAGTAATGACCAATGTTCTTTTTAGATCGTGATATTTGAATTTCTTATGGTAATCTTCATACCAAAATATATGATAAACGGTATATGTTTTCTTTTTGGTTAATTTTCCATTCTTTGATGCTGATGTTCCGTTGTCATCTTCTTATCTGTTGCACAATTTCAATTGACTCCTTATATGCGCATGTTTACGATTTCAATCAGTGTGATATTTTCATAACTTAAGTTGAACAGAAGAGATATAATATAATAAATTAGTAAAACATCTACTGAATTTTATAACACATATATTGGTTGTTAAACATTGATTCTTTCTCCACTAATTTGATTTAAAGATGTATATCACATTAAGTTTTCCTCCGTAATTTCTTAATATAAATAAGAATATGCGGTATGAGTGCCAATGATACTACTCTCCATCCAAGTCACAATGTATAAAAAGTAAACAATTAAGCATACAGTTTTGGAATTGTCCTTCAAATCTTTCTTTTTTAGCTGAATAGACGTATTTACTACAGTAATGAATATAGTATTGTTGTTTAACTATTGTCGAGATTTTGAAGGAGGTTTTTTTTTTAGGGTGTGGGGGGGGGGGGGTTGTGGATGTGTGAGGGGGGGAGGTATTTTATGTTAACATTTATTTACAAAATCATATCTTAAATGAAGGCGACAGTTGTTCAATGATGTATAAATCTCGTACAAATCTCGTAAATCGAAAGAGAAGACAAATCAAGGTAACAAACAGAAATTGAGGGAATCGAATGAACTGTATAAAGAGCGAGACCGGGTGCGTGGACAGAGTAATCGTCTCCTGCAATATATGCCTCAACAGCCATGCAAATTCCCACTCAATTAAAATGTCACAATTCGGAATAGGACACAATGGGTAAAATTACCAACGACTATACTAGTACCTTAAGATCTTATACTGCGAAAGTATGTCGATAGTGGCTTGAGACACCGACACAGCGTATCGGTCAACCATTTAGTGACTTAAACTTATGTAGTGACGATTTCATTTAATTTTCCTAAAAAAAAAACAATACTAATTTCAAAGTTCTAGTGTTTTAAATAGAATTCTGGATAATTAATTCAGCAAGAACATGTCTTTCTGTATTGTTAAAACTTTGTACAGTATTAAGTCGTCTTTAAAATACGGTCACCGAAATTATGGTGAAGGACGGTATGATTTCGTAACAACAGGTAAAGTACTTAGAGCTTGCTTTGTGTAATTAATTGATAGGATAAAATATTAAATGTGCTTTTATTGTTCTTTGTTATTTAATATATAAAGAAGTCTATAAAAACGACCAACCAACAAATTTGGTATCGGATCGTCTAGAATAGACAATACTATATAGATAATTTTACGGTAACAGATGTTTGCATCGACTCTGATATAAGATCTACAGGCAGATATGTCGGCTAAAACAAAGGCCCTATTCAGTGTCAATGTTTTTATTGAATGCAATAAAATAAGCGTTTATGTGTAAAATTAGCTCACTCGTTCAGATAGATTTTATACAAATGATTTAATGAGAAATCCTGCACCTCATAAACAAAATAAAACTAAATACTATACGGACGTACGGACGTGGCTTCGCACTTTTATAGCCCAAAATATCAAAATGTAGTAGTTCGTGTAAATTCATATATACAGAATAACTATACATTGTTTTGAAATATAAAATATATTTGAACATGGTTTAGAAACAGGTAGAATGCGAGGGTTTGTAGAGCATTTCTATCGTATTTCGACCGGATATGCCACATACCACAATTAACTTCCCTTTTAGTTCTTAATAACGTTTGTCATATTTAAAAAATCGCATCCTGTTTATTTGCCAGACCTTTTGTGTGTGTAAAATGAACAGTACAACATTTAAAAAGTAATAAAACTTTTTTTGGCAGACAGTATGGTCTGTTTGGCCTTTTACAGTCGACTAAATGTTATAAGTTTTGCTCATTGCTGAAGGGTGAACGATGACCTATAGTTGCGTAAATCCGTTTCATTTTGAGCTTGAGGTTGAATGGTTATCTTATTGGCAATCAAACCACATCTCTCGGCAAGTATGTTGCAACATCTGATAAACTGATTTCACTTAAGGTGAAGTACATGTTGTTTGATCATATTTCGGATTTTTACAAAATTCTATATATATTTATATATCTCGTTCAACTGCATCTGAATATTGAAAAAAATTGTATATGCAAAATTAACACATTGATTCTAAAGATATGATTAATTCAAAATCTTTAGAATAGAAGATTAAAATGTAAAGAAACGAATATTCATGTTGTTAAACAATTGTGATTTCGCAAAATCCGGTCCACACTATTTGTTTTTTGATGATATGTTAACATTGTACACAATTCCGTTTTAATGATCACTAAATTCGTGATTGTAGCCTTAAACATTAGCGTTTTTCTGGTACTTCATCACAGCCACCTGTCTCTGAAAAAATAGCTACATGTATATACCTTTAATTTTTTTTAACGTATAAAGGTTAAAAAAAATTAGAGACTAGTACATGAGAGCTTGGCGCCAACATGTCATTTCACTTATTTTGTTCCTCGACGCTTTTTCCACTGGACATATCGGTACTTTAATTGATAATGTCTTAAATATTTGCTGTTTATGTACATTCCTTATATTTATAGATCCGCGTTTATGAAGTTTTAATTGTTTGTATCTCTGGAAAATATAAATGGTGCATATTTTACTTAGTAGATATTAAGATGCTGCTCAAGAGTACCAAATGCATCCAAATTTTCTTTTTAATTCTGAATACCGCCCAATTACGTATACTACTACTTAATTTTTTAAATGACAACGTTCACAGTCATAACCAGGTTTCTAATTAAATAAGACCGTTGTCCATAGATATTCCATCGGAAAAGAGTTACCCGTGTGGAAGCTCATGTCCAACCAGAACACTAGCTAAATCATTTCACGAGTTACGATAAAATGCAGAGGAAGCATTAAATGACCCGTTTAAGGTCGTGTTCATGCAAAACGTCGCATACTGTAAGCCTGTTTGAAATGATGGTCATGTAATGGACACTGTTTTAACATTTAATTTGTTCTCATCTGTACACCGGATTTAATTGCCTGTAGATTAGACTTGTTCACAGGAGTAAACTACATAAAGGATTAATGTAAATGTTCATTATATAGAATATATGAATGGAAAACTACTCTTTTAACTTCTACAGCAGTTAGATGCAATCCATCTTTTGTGTGGGAGGGGGCATGTTTGTTTTAAAAAATGTTTTGATTTTAAATTTCCTGAGAAAAAAAATGTTTTAGAGAGGAAGTGAAACATAATTTGTTTCTATAAAAATGAAAGAGGGAAATTGAGTTTAAAAAATTCTTGTTCCTGTATGTTATTAAAAATAAATCACTGTTTTATTCTTTTGCTTAGAGTCAAAATTTGTGTTTGTCCAAACCCCTACTTTCCTTTCCCCACGGAAAAATTAATGGTTTGTGACTTAGGAAAACCGTTCTTCTAATTTGGAGTCTTTTTTTTAGTTTTACGGATGTCATGATAACGTTATAAAACAAAAAGCAACAGCAGTGTAGCATTAGGCAAAGATGAATTGAAATGTACAGCAACGCAGGATTACTCCGCTTAAAACTTTTTAATCCTCCCATATTTTTCGTTTTTCCTGCATTTACTATGAAATCGATTCTGCACATGGTTCTGCTGCCATCAATATGTTAACCCCAAGTGTTGACTGGGATATAGGAATATGTTCTTCCGTTGATCGTCTTCCAACAGTAAAATCCTTGCCATAGATCGGCGTTCTTTTTATCTGTGCGGGATGTATAAATTCACAGTCACGTCCGATCAGAGAGTTTTATCCGTTGCCTTGTGTAGAGGGAGTGTCACGTTCTCTGTAGTTAAGAACCCTTGCAACAACTCTTTTGTGGCTTTGTAGGTAGCCTACACAGGTAAAATAGCTACGGACGTTTTACGGAAAAATAGTACCACGTCTAAAATACGGATCTTACGTATTACGGACGGTCTAAAACATCCGTTTTACGGACGTTTTTCGTCCGTATTACGGCTGTAAAAGCACATGTTTTATTTTCACTAAAAATACCTTGTATGATATTTATCTTATATATTTCTTTCACTATAACATTAAGAAATTGATACATCAACGTGCAAAAATGGTTTAAAAGAAAATATCATGCCTTGATTTATAATAAAGGTTCATGTTTTTGACACCCCTTCATGAATTAAGGGTATACTGCCCTGCAAATATAGCATGAACTTGTCTTTTTCGTGTTTGTGTTACTGGTTTGCTGTTTCGTAGTAAAGGTGCCTATATGATGTATCTATGAATGTCAACAAAAGTAAACGTCATATATGCATCGAGCGATGTCCGTAAATTGCATGACCTTCACAAATGTTTTTCAGAGTATTTTTGTTCGTATATCACAATTGTAAATATTGTACAATCAAGAAATACGCATAAAGTGTGCTTAGATACTAATTCATATCACATTTATAAGTAAACTGAAAGGCATGTTTTACATATACACATGTAACCTGTATATGGAAAATGTCTACATTTCACACAGAAGGATATACATCGTTGAGACAGCAACCAAATGACAAAATAAAAACAAACAACATATAAAGGGCAATATAGTTGTCTTCAATCGAGATGAGCTGTCAACAACAAATGTTTGCACCTGTCCTAAGTCAGGAATCTGATTACAGTAGTTGTCGTCAGTTTATGTAGTTCATACGTGTTTCTCGTTTCTCGTTTTTATATAGATTAGACCGTTGGTTTTTCCGTTTGAATGGTTTTACACTAGTAATTTTTTGGGGCCCTTTATAGCTTGCTGTTCGGTGTGAGCCAATGCTCCGTGTTGAAGGCCGTACCTTGACCTATAATGGTTTACTTTTATAAATTGTAATTTTTCTATAAATTCAACCACCAAAAGATATATAAAAAAAATAGATTTGTACTTTTACCTGCAACTTAACAAAATCATATTTTTTTCCGTTGTAAATTTTGAATAAATATTATGAATAAATATCGTAACTAATATTTTAAATTTCACTCAATTTCATCCCCTTCTTTTATTAAAAAAACTAATTTTGACATTAGAAACAATTTTGAACAGCATGTGACACCCATATCTCAACTTTTTAAAAGAAAATATTAACGCAAGAAGATGCTTCTGAAAGATTGTTTTTCAACAAAAATCAAGTTTTTATCACAATTATTGTCTACATTTCACAAAAAATAGGTTCTTTTCTTTTATAGATATTAACACTGTGCTAAAAGATTTTAAAAATTAGCTGAGACAATCCTGACGTATCGTAAGACATAGATGTGTTGACGAACAAACATTGTGATCAAAATGGGGCACCTGCAAACTAGTCAACAGGGCCATTGAATTCTTTGGTGTATTAAAAGGTCTTGACATAATGATTAATATATATGGTTTTTAGTGTGGACATATACAAATCAATTATAATTTGACATTAACAAAGATAAAAGTCAGAGGTCACCTTCAATAGTAAGCGACACATCATACTTAGGTGCCGCTCTCATGAGGAAATTATTAAAAGCCTATGGCAAAGGATTTAAAAGTACTGTTACGGACAGAAAATGCGAAAAAATATCAAATATTTTTACATTAAGGTCAGAGGTCAAGGTCAGATGCTATTTTACCTGTGTATTGCAAGTCTTAAATTATCGCCATACCAAATATATCCTTATTAGGGAGACTCCCTATTGCAGGACATGTCTATTGTATTAATTGTTGAATTGTTCCCGTCCTGAACATGCAGGGAATGTTTGCCACTGGGCGTGAAGCAGACAACCATCAATCAATCAAACAACCATGCATTTATTAATGCCCCAATTTCTGAATGATTTCACTCAATTTGGGAAGACAATTTCCAATGAAGGATGTGTATGATGATTGCGAGTCCGAACAGAATTTAATAATGCTATTTAATCATTTTTAATAACTGATCAATATTTTGAGTTTTGGACAAATAAATTGGTATATAACTCAATTCATGATATAATTATAATGATTATATTACATATATGTTTCTTCCTTAAATATTCATAATTAAATTCACTTCTAAATATTTAGTTTTATGTACACTTAACCCACGCAAGCCCTATATTGACTACTAGTGTCATGTAATCAAAATTTGTTTTAACAA